GGGAAAGACAGAACACAACTATCTAGGAGTCCGGGCTTCAGTAGTACACTACTTACTAAGTCACTCTTCATTCTGCTTTTCAGTGTTTCTTCCATTTGTGTTGGGACTTGAGAAAGATGAGTTGCATAAAACATAGTGGTGATTTAAGCAGCACCTAACTTTGTGTGGGCGCTTGCCAGGCATTTCCCCATGGTGGAGAGGGAAGTTAGCAACATGGAGCTGGTGATGCTCCCTCAGAGTCTTGCAAGGTCTGCAGGCAAGGGGAAATGTGCTTGGATTGCTCCTCTGCAGTTCTGTTCCCGCTGCAGAAAATCAGATCAAATCAAATCACTCCCAGTTCTGTGGGGAGACACTGTTCCTCTTCAGTCCTTTTTGCTGGATTCTGAAGTGACTTGAGCATGAGTTTCTCCCAGCAGCTAAACATGAAAGCTGCTGAGCCAAAGTTGATGCACCAATAGCATAGGTCACAAAATAATACAGAATTTTCATATAATACTTCTTCTCTCCTCTTTAAGAACTGAAGGAATCTGTTGAAGAAATACTGCCATTCTTGAAGAAAGAAAATGTTAAAGTTTATTATTTAAGCAAGACATCTGCTACAGAAGGAGTTGAGAGCTTTCTTGATAAAGTAGATGCTGCTTCAGATGAGCCTACTCCATTGTCTTGGAGATCAGACATAACCTTTAAAACTCCTGCCATGTACATTTATACTTCTGGTACTACAGGTAACGTAAATTCACAAAAACTATATGGATGGCCATACATTCCTCCCAACATTGTGATTTTTTTTTAGTAAGGAAAGAGAAGCTGTTACTTCACATTAATTCCTAGTCACATTCATTCCCCCTCAGGAAACTGGAAATTTGATATCTGTATCTAACAGCAAAAAGCACATAGAATGTAGGCTGACTTCACGCACTAAATCTGGGGGGAGGGACTGAAGTAAAAGCCAATTAAACATACAAGTTTTATGCCAGTAAGGTCACTAAGACTCTCTCTTACCCTAGACACACTGTATGTGTCTTGGCATCCACCTTATACTCAGTATCTTTGGAGCGTGAACTCTAAATGCTGGCCTCCTCTTAGGGCAGGAACTCCTTTGGAAGGGAGGAAGTACAAATTTGAATCCTATTTGGACTGCAGAAGGCAACTCGGGTGTCCTTCATCCTTGTTAACGTCTCTGTTCTTACAGAATAGGCAGGCACTGCCATTGTTTTGTCTTCTAGCATCTGTTTCAGCAAGTAATCAGTTCAGCTGTATCTGATGGGAAACCAAGAGGAGATTTTGTAGTATGAATTCTAGTTTCATCTAGGACGACTCAGAGCTGCAAGGAGATCCCTAATTCCAGAAGAGATGTGAGATCTGAGATTAACCTCTATTTTAGCATTTCCATTCTCTTTGCTCAGCATGCTAGATTCCCCAAATCCCATTTCCTTATTCCCTAGGTGCTTGTTATTCCTAGGTACCATAGTACTGGGAATTTGGGCACTTTAATAGAGGGGTTATCACCTAACAGTTACACTTGGGAAGACATAGGATCCTCACTAAGGCTAAACACTGATGTGTTCCATAGACATAAGCTGCATACCTCCCTGAACTCATCACTTGCGTCAGTAAATAAGATAAAATCTTTTCTTAAGCCCTTGTGAAACTGACTGGTCTTACTATGTTTATTGTTCAGGTGAAGTTACATGTCTTTTTGCTTGACTTTAAACAGGTCTTCCCAAAGCTGCAGTCATTAACCATGAACGCATAATGCTAGCTTGTGGTTTGTTTGATGCTGGCAATGTTACCTCAGAAGATATTGTGTACACTGCTCTACCCCTCTATCATAGCTCTGCCCTTCTCATTGGAGTCCATGGATGTATCATGAAAGGTACCATGTACTTGACTAGTATGAACAGGTTTCTGTGCAGAATTCACACACAGATACGATCACAGAACGTAAGCCTTTCCCTAGCTACCAAACTTTGAGCTGAAATACTTGGTTATACACATGTCTATTACCAGAAACTCTGTAAGTCAATAGACGTTCTTGTTCCTCTGTCATCTTCATATGAGTCACACAGATCTTCACCCTGTACAAATTTTATTTCACCACCTGGACAAGCAGGATATATCCTTTCTTACATGACAGTTCTTTGCACACTTTTAGGGTAAATTAGTAGTGATGTTTAACTTTTGATGAATAGAAATAGAGGTTAAACCAATTATTCAGCATGGATTGTATTTAAATATGTTTTAGGAAGAGTTCTTCCAAAAAGTATATAATCCTAATTCTAAAAGTTTTCCACAATGCCATGCTAAGAAATTCTATATGGTCTTATGATATAATAAGAATTGTTCCTTCTGTTGGTTGTTCTACTTCTTTCTACACAGGTGCAACTATTGTTTTGCGTGCCAGATTTTCAGCAAGCCAGTTCTGGGATGATTGCAGAAAATACAATGTAACAGTGATACAGTATATTGGGGAAGTGCTTCGGTATCTGTGCAGTGTTCCACAGGTAAAATTAACCGCCTTTCTTTTTTGGCTAATTACTGGGAATATTTGTTATATTATGCTTAAAATCTAACCATAAGTGGAGGGGAAGAAAAGTTTGGTAATGTTAGCCACACAGAGACATTTAGCTTAACCATTGAAGTGACCTGTTTATCAAAAATAACAGATTTGTAACAAAAAACAAGGAACGTGAATGGCTGAACCTGAAGCCCACTGAATGATACAGTTGAGTGGTATTTGAGGCTGTCTTACAGATTACTCATTACTGATGGCTGCTTACCTACACAGGCCAGATTTTAAGATAATCACAGATAACTTAGCTCTCGTTATTTAACATAAGGATTTTTGTTTACTCAGTACGTAGAATTCAACACCAGTGGAGAAAACACTTTTACATAAGCAAAGTTTATAAGCTTAATATTTGATCCCATGTACCCATATGCGTGCTACTTTGAGTGCACAAGTCTCCCAGAAAGATGGGATTAACGTTTTAGGAATGCAAGAACTTGACTGAATGGATGGTATTACTTAAACTGTTGTGGTGCCAAAAGGGCTTGGCCTGTTGTTGCAGCTGTAACAGAGAGACATCTTTTTCCAGGAGAAACTCCTGGTAAAAGCAAGATCCACATTAACTTTTATCTATGCTATCATTTCTTTCCTTTACACATGCATAGAAGAAAAAAGCTCAGTATGTTTCACAGATTTCTTTCTGATTGTATTTCCAGCTAACTTGCATTGTCATTTCAGAACAAATGAACAGCCCAAGTATAGAAATCACCTTAAGGGTGAATCATTAAGTCCTTCCTTCCTTCTTTCATTAACTGTGACTAATTAATAGCTAAATAATAAATTTCTTTATCTGCCTAAGCAAATGGGGAAGAAAGATTGAAAATAGAGACTTAAGAACAACCAAGAGATGAGGGACAGTGTGGACCCAAGCAGCATCCTTTCCCCAGTGAATCATTTCAAAATAAAGTGTTTAAGGTCAAACATATAAATCCCAATTAACTGCAGTTGGAAAAAAACTTCCCATGAGAGACTAAGGTATTGTGTACGCTGTTGTAGAGCATCATCTACCACCAAAAAAAAAAAAAAAAAAGATTTTCTAAGAAGTGAACAAGTCATTTAGATGCTATGCAGAATTCCAGCAGATTTCATTGTTCTATTTTAAGCTTGGTTCTTTGCTAACATGTTATTGGCAGATCTCCCAATATTACAGAGAGGACTATATATTAATGTGTTTCTTTAGATTAAATTTAAACATCCATTTCCAGACTATTCTGCAGAAGAGCAAGAGTAAAAATCCAGAAGTGATGTGACTAGGTCCAAAATAAAATTAAAGTTTTACAGTATTTAAAAATTGTAGCCATTTTTATTGTGGCAATTTTTGGTCTTTTCTGAGAATATGACACTATAAGACCAATCTATATTTGTCTTAATGGCCACATTTCTCTCTTGAATTGCTCCTTGCAAGAGCATTTTGCAATTTCAATATTCCATGCCCATCTTCTATTCCTACCATCTACTGCATTGCCCTCTGCACTGCATTCCCTGAACTACATAAAACAAACACACTTATTCTGCAGAAATACATATTCTAGTTTGTTGCTGACAGAACAGTCTTATTCTTTCAACAAGTATTGCAAGATAAGAAGCCAATATATATTTTAAAAGACTCTTTGTGCCTTAAAATACTATTAAATTATGTAATAAAAGAAACAGTAGGAGAAAAAGGCAGGAAGTAGGACAAAACAGCCTTTCCATATTTTGCTAAAATTCTCTCAGGCTATTGTTATTCATTAGCATGTTAGATATGTTTATGAATTACAAGTGTCTGACCCAGTTCAGTACTTCCTTTTGTTGAGGATAAATATAAACATCTAAGAGAAGGCATAAGTGGACTGCCATCCTCATTCTCTGTTTATCGCTTTAGTCTGTAAACAGAAAGATCTAATAGCACTGTTAAAAGTGATATGAAATGTGGTAACTTAATTTTTAGCAGGCTGAATCCTGCACTTTAATGGCAGAAGGGATTTCCTTTCCGCCCAAACACCATTTTAAATCCTGCAAACCTTTTGCTAAATTCAGAGTAAAATTACACTCTTCTGCAGATAGTCACCACAAGGCTTACAAATAAAATAGTTTAACATGGTGCCTGAGTTTCATTCTGTCCATATTTGTTCCTGTCTTCACCCAAATCAAGTTAGCTACTAACTACACTTAGATATATGGCCTAACTTGCTCAGTAATTTCCTTTTCCATATCAAACTCATGAGCTTAACTGTAATGATGTTTGCACACATTTTACTTCAGAATATGCTCAACACTTTTAGGCTAAAATTTCCTTCAGAATTTTCCAGAAGTAGAAGCTTTCACTCAGCAGAAATGTGAATTCATGAGTGTTTCCTGTTTCTAGAGAAACAATGATCAGGATCACAAAGTCAGACTTGCCATAGGAAATGGAATAAGGGCTGATGTTTGGAGGGAATTTATCCGAAGATTTGGAAATATTAATATTTTTGAGTTTTATGCATCAACTGAAGGAAACATTTCTTTTGTTAATTACACTGGAAAAATTGGTGCAGTGGGAAGAGTAAACTGCCTGCAGAAGGTAAGAACAACAACAAAACCTGGCATTTTGTCTGTCTTGGTGAAGTCTGGTGTATTGCCAAGGGCATATACCAGGCCACTTGTATGACATGTTGGGAAGAACCCAGGGCCCAGTTATGGATTTGTTCAGGGAGAAGATTCTCCCCAAGTACAGCATATAGCTGCCCATGCTAGATATCACAGATATCTCTCACTAGTTCAGGCAAAAGAACATTTAGACTCAGCACATCCAGTTGAAATGTGATGAATTTGACTCCTGTTAAATAGAAAGTTGACTATGTAGTATAATTCTGAAAATACTTTTCAAAGATTGAATATTCATGTGTATATACATTTTGCAAATTTTCACTAGAAAATCTTACGCTATGAACTGATTAAATATGACGTAGAGAAAGATGAACCAGTCCGAGATGAAAATGGATACTGCATAAGAGTTCCAAAAGGTAAAAACTTAACTGCTTTAAAAAATTTCAGAAAGGTATTTACTTTTTTAAATTACATCTCTTTGCATCACTTCTATCTGGAAAGATGCTAAGAATTGCCATTGAGTAAGCCAGGTTTTTAAATACAAGTTAGAAAGCATACAACAGATTACATACTACTGTAATACAGCTTAACAGAAAGGTAAAGAACAGTGGGGAATGCAGCATCTGTATGGTTAGATTTTAATAACTTGTTTAGTTTAATAGTGGACACAGTAACATTTTTGAG